ATGACTATACATAGTTGAAAGTCTTCATCAAATCCATAAAGTTCGTATGGAGGTTGGTTCTTATGATAGCACGTTTTCTGCAGTGGTACATTGTGTCAATGATTCCACGGTACTTCTAGAAATCTAATTGTGTAGCATGCTTCAGAAAAGCGTTCAGGCGATTGAGATTAACGAGATAAAAATTGTTGATTGTGATGTTGAGAACCGAGACGTCCCTATGGTTGGTACATAATTTTTAGTTCTTCTTGCGACTTTAAACGTACAATTTCGTGTCGGACCTAAAGTCTCGAGTATCTCTCTCGGTCACCAAATCTCCTGTAATGGTAAGGCAAGTTTTTCCATGATCTATGGACCGCTGTACCTATAGACTTCAACTGAAATCACGTTTGCCAGTGATGTTTTTACCATGAACAACTGTTGTAATACTTTGATTATCTCAACTAAATAGGATGTATGGTCGAGGTCCTCATTGATATCAATTTGTTGAAGTTGGTTTGTGCATTCTTCCTATTGGCTTTTGAATCCGGTATATGGATCAGACGTTTGCATTTTGGCATAATATTGCGTTTTCGGTGAAGATGTTTGTTTAGTGACGTTGTGCTCTGCTTTATTGATGGATCTTCGGTACAGGAAGGCTTATTTTCTGGTTGAATATGCTATTTGCGTCAGTACTAGCACAAATTCCTATAGTTAATGGAGGAACTGTTTCGGGAGATTCGCCCATTTGTCTTGCAGCGGCTCGGGTATTATCAGCAGCTGATTTCCATTCGAAAGTCTGCGATAAGAAGGTGTTTTGCTGTGTGCTGGAACGCACTTCTTCCAGTCGTCTTAATCTTCTCCGTGTTCTTCCTCTTCGGGAATTCAACCTCGACAAAATTTTCAACATCACCATTTTTTGCAGCTTCTAGCAGCGTCCAGCAACGTTGCAGCATATGGTTGTGTATCCAAAAAATTCCGAATGCTGTCTTTTCTTAAGGACAGTGGTAAGATGCATTAACTTTTAACCTTACCTCCACATGAAATGAATGTTCGCAGATGTAATCAGTCTTTTATCTCAATATTGGGAACGACTGAGGGAGCTATATTTACATACTTAATTTCTTTTTCCCGAAGGAATTTGCTAAAGTTTTTATCACTTTTATGTGAAAAAGCTGCAAGCGTGCCATGAGCTTTTTAACAATTTGTTATGCCTTATGAAATTTGCCTGTTTTGACCACTACTTTGCCTTTATGTTTTTGTGTTCTATCTATGTCGGTGTATTTATACTTTCCGGCACCCTAAATTAATGATCAGCCAGACCCTGTGATTTGAGTTTTTATGGTTAAGGCGTGCCACCGCCGGCTGCTTCGAACCTAATTATCGCTCCATGTCTTTTGTATTGAACATATCGTGGTTTGGCTTCAGGGTTATTCCTGTGAAAAGTATAGCGGGAAGCCGACAAAATATTCAAAATTTCTGGTTTTTGATGATTTTACATCTCTCAGACTGAGTGGTTTTTACAAGCTTTCTCTCTTTCACCTTCATATTCAGCCAAAGGACCTATTGAACAACCAAAATGTGCTGAATATCCATGAGTGCTTGGTTTTGATTCGGGACTTATCAGTTTTGTTCAACATATTTGAGGAAAATATGCTTTCGGCCTTACAACCCCCTATTTGTATCATAATGATCTCGAGAATTAGCACGAAGGGAAACAAAGGGTAGCGTCGAGCGAATAAGCGATTAGACTTACGCAGCACAATGCTTCCTTAAGATGAAATATTTACACCATTCGCTTGTTACTGCAGCACATGTCTGTGAAGTCGATACTCGAGTGTTTCCACAGGCGGAGATTTTATATTCCCTTCGGCCAGTTTATTTCATGATTCCACAACACGATTAGAGAAGAACATTTTCTCACATTAAATTTTCCTTGGCGCACACCCAGATTTAAGGGATGGCACGACATTCAGTTGAAATAATGCGTTGGAAGGAGTCATCATACAAGAGGGCACAGTGAAAGCCATGCACAATACGAAAACTGTGCAGCTGCCCACTACTCTACATATGGATATTTAGGATATTTAGACGGATGTCGTATAGCAGTTCACCTTGACCCTTTAATAATTTTGTGGCTCTTTTCTGGATCCATTTGAGTAGATCATAATCCTTCTGTGTCCATGGACTCCAGGCTTGGGTCGCATATTCAAGATGCGGCCAGAAAAACGCACTGAAGAGTTTCGTAAGCAGTCCTCATGGAACCGTAGATACCCGCCGGATGGCATACAACATTAAATCAGTGGCTTTAATCAACTGGCAACCATGTGAAGAAATGGTAGCTTATATAGAACTAAAGTCCACGACGTGCTTTTCGCGAAGGACTACACTCATTACACCCCGACGGAACAGGACACGAAAAGTACCATGGACCACTTCGCTGGCGGCTGTCCCAATTCTGGACCGAACAACGGGGACATATGGGGCTCATACACCAACTACCACCCTGTGTATAATACAAAGCTCAGTGGAGCAGTGTCAACGGTGGATAATTAAAAACTGTGGACAACTTCGCGTATTTGGAAAGCACACCATTCCGGATCACGACAGGCTTGGGTTTCTTAATGGACCTCCAAAGTCAGCCAGGTAATTTATCTGCTGTAGGCCTCTGTGTGGAATCGCCATGACTTTCACTTGAACAAGAAACTGCTGTATGGATGGGGAACCTGGACCGCCTACACCAGTCAAGCTTGGAAGATGAATCACTTCGATCCCAGTTGTCATGACAGAACAGGATTCCGGGCACGGAAGTCCTGGAGCAAACTGGAATCCTCAGCATTCAAGCCATGTTGACGGAAATTCCACTACAGTGGAGTGGCCGCCTGGTAAAGATGGACGACGGCCTTCCTGCGGTGGAGTCTCTATGAGTGCTCACCAACAAGGAGATCAGCTTCGTTGACCGCATTGTGGATATCCTTCCCATTTTTTATAACATTCACAAACTAGACACATTCATAGTTAAATTCCTGTAAACAATCACTGTTTAACAAGTGAGAATGTGTGTTGATCCGTGCACTGAGCACGGTAGGACTTGACTGTACATGACTATGTCCCTTGACGACTGTGGACCCGCAGAAACAACTTGCGAAAAAAAAAGAGAGGAAAGAATTGACCCCGATACGCAATAGTCTTTACTTGTACGGGAGACACTGGTGCGGAATAATATCGTACGATTTAGGCCACACAAACAAGTTGTTCGGCAAGCTTTTTAGTTCTCCAAAACCCAGTCATTTTCGAATTGGCTAGACGTTACCATGCCTCAAAACAAGAATCATGTTCCTGTTACATATGTCTTTTGTCAAACAGCTGTAAGACACGGTGGAGCTTATGACTCTGCAAATCTCGCTTTGAATCTCTTCACCTTTTAACCGGATGGCTGCGTAGATTGTTCTATTCGCAACTACTATACGTCTACCCTTCATGATCCATGCGAAAGACGGCATGTGTAATAGACTGGATGGATAGTGCGACCTACACAGAAAGTACACATTAAAGCATGTAAACATGCTAGGAGTCATAACCACTAAAACTAATTATTTAACTAATATGTTTTTGTTTAAATAGGTTGAAAATAAATATAGCGAAGCAAATTCTCCAATCACATGATTGCCCTTCATATTTGGCTCGCCAAGACATGTTGGTTTTGTTTGCTTTGTGGCCTTCTGCTGTTTCTCAAAATCTTTT